AGAAGGGGGGGGGTAGAGGAGCGGGAGGGGGGCGGCACATGTGCAATGTGGGGAGGCGGGGCGGGGTGGGGTGAGCGGGCGATGAGCAGGCAGGCGGCTGCCCAGCCCCAGGCCCCCAGCCGCCAGCGCCAGGGCGGGGCGCTGCAGAACACCGCCACACTCGCCACGCCCACAGCTCGAAGCGACACACACCACCACACACCACACCCGCCCACCTGCGTGAAGCGGAAGATGTTGTCCACAAACAGCAGCACGTCCTGCCCCTCCTCGTCGCGGAAGTACTCGGCCACGGTGAGGCCAGTCAGCGCCACGCGGGCGCGCGCGCCTGCGCGGGGGGGCGCGGCGGGGAAGGGTTGGAGGGAGGCCAGCTCGGCGCGTGGGCGGCGGGCGGGGCCGGCAGGCCGGCAGGCGCAGGAGGAGGGCCGGCGCTCCTCCCGATCCTCCTCACACACCAAATGGCCCCCTGCCTCTGGCCGCCAGCCCCCTCCTCCATTCCCCTCCCCTCGGCTCCCCGCCTCCCATCCAACCCACCGCCCTCCCCTCCCCTCTCATCCACCAGCCTCTCCTCCCCTCCCCTCTGCCTCTCCCTCTGCCTCTGCCTCTCCCTCCCTCTCAACCACCAGCCTCCCTCCCTCCCGCTCCACCTCCCGCTCACCGGGCGGCTCGTTCATCTGGCCGTACACCAGCGTCACCTTGGACTCCATCTGCTTGTCTCCCAGCTTGATGACGCCTGCAGAGGGAGGCGGGGGGGCACGTGGGGTGGGGGGCGGCACCGATGGCTGGTTACGGGGCTGGGGGGCGGGGATGGGAGGAAGCAGGGAGCAGCAGGCAGTGAGCAGCAGGGAACGATGATGGCAGGGGGAGGGGAAAGAAGGCAGGGTGGGTGAGGGGCGGGGTTGGAGGGGCGACGCGGCGGGCAGTGGGGCGAGGGCGATGCGCCAGCAAGCCCAACCGCAGAGGCCCGCCCCCGCCCGCAGCCCACGCCGCCACACGCAGGGCAGCACAGGCAGGGCAGGGCGGCGCAGCCGGCCGCCGCTGGCATGGCTCCGGCCCCGCCGAGACGCTATGAGCCGCCTCCGGCGGCGCTGCTGCTGCCCGCATGCGGGCAGGCAGCGGAGCGGCCGGGCGGCTGCGCAGGGGCGCGCCACTGTGCAGGCTCTGTCACGCCGCCGAAGCGCCGCTCGGCGCTCTGAGAGCCCGGCGGCGCCGTGGCGGCGCTCACAGCCATAGTAGTGGCAGCCTGCCTGCGCTGCGCCAGAAAACAGCCCACGGCGCACAGCAGCCCGCGGGGGGACGCCGCTGGCAAGGAGCTGCCGCGCCGCTGCCGCAGCCCCAACGCCGGCAGCGGGCGGCGCGGCGGCGGCAGTCGCTGGCGGCGGTAGAGGCGTCCGTGCCGGAGGCGCAGCTTGCGTCTCCCGGCGGGATGCTGCACCCACACCTCCGGCACGAGCCCTCCAGCACCGGCAGCGACAGCCGCACGCTGGCGCACATCCACACATGCATGCGTTTTATTTGTGTTCCAGGGTGCGATGGGGCAACCCCTACACACCTTGAGGACCATGCCCGTCCCGAGAATCTGCTGCACACGCGTGCACAGCGGCGGCCGCCTGCGCCGGCAGCTACCCCCGCCCGGCCGGCGCCCAGAACAGATCCCCCCCACCCCATTGCAGCAGGCACACTCGCTTACACCAAACACACAGCCGCCGCCCGTTGCCAGAAGCGTGCCGGCAGCGGTACGAGCGGCAGCAGAGGCGGCAGCCGGAGCGGCACGGGGACGTGTGCGTCACGAGCGGCAGTACATGCAGTACATGCGGTACGCACCAGACTCAATCATCTCGCGGTACAGGTCGTTGCCCTCGCGGGTGCGCTCGCCCACGCCCGCAAACACGGAGAAGCCACCTGCAGGAAGAAAGGAAAGGAGGGCGTGGCGGCGGGGCGGTCAGCGGCGCGGCAGGCACCAGCTGCGCAGCCGGCTGCCGGCCGAGCTGCGCCCTGAGGGTGCAGGCAGCCCCCACACCACCCGCAGCCCTTGCCGTGCCCGCAGCAGCACCAGAGGGGCTGCCGCCACCGCGCCAGGCACGCGCTGTACCAGCCCTCGCAGCGCCCTGATTCACGCAGGGAAGGCCCAGCCCAGCCCAGCCGCAGCCCCCACCACGCCCTCGCCACGCTGTCAATCGGCTCCCAACGCAGCCCACCACTTCCCAAGAAGAAGAAAGAAACCAGCCGCAGGCCCCGTGCCCCTCACTGTGCCCCTTGGCCGCGTCTGATGAATCGGCTCCCATGCCACCCGCCAAGAAGAAAGAAAGGAAGGAAGGAAGGAAGGAAGGAAGGAAGAAAGGAAGCGGCCCCGGCCCCTCACCGTGCCCCTTGGCCACGTTGTTGATCAGCTCCATGATGAGCACGGTCTTGCCCACGCCCGCGCCGCCAAACAGCCCGATCTTGCCTCCCTTCTGGTAGGGCGCCAGCAGGTCCACCACCTGTTGCCAGGCGCAGGTGAAGCAGAGGGGAGGATGAAGAACAGAGAGGTCGGGGGGTCGGTGGGGGGCAGCCGGGCTTGGAGGCGGGGCAGCGGGGCTGGCAGGGAGGAGCCCTGCCGCGGCGCCCCCCAGGCGCTTCCACTGCCAGCCTCCCAGCCCCCGCTCCAACCAGCACCGCCACCCCATGCCGCGGCGCGCTGCTGTGCCGCGGGTGGAGGCAGTGCCAGCGCGCGCTCGGTGGCCCAGCTGGCGGCGCCGCCACCGGCTGCTGCTCTAGGGGCCAGGCTTGCCCACCTTGATGCCGGTGGTCAGGATCTCCTGCTCCACTCCCTGGTCCACAAACAGCGGCGCCTCGCGATGGATGCCCCAGGTGACCTTGGCGGCTGCGCGGGCAGGAGCAGGTGGGCAGCAGGCGGGTGGGAGGAGGCGGCGCGGGCATGGCCGGGGCGCGGGGCACGCCCGCGCAGGCTGCCTGGCCGGCCTGGTCGGCACCGGCCGTGCGCTTCGGGAGCCCCACGCCAAAAGCTGGGGGCGCTCCACACCCAGCACGCATCTCGTCATATGCCTCTCAGGCAGCCCTCTCAGGCAGCCCCCGCAGCACCCGCCCCCGCTCACGGATGGGCCCCTTCTCATCCACCGGCTCGCCAATGACGTTCATGATGCGCCCCAGCGTCTCGCGGCCCACGGGCACCTTGATGGGCTCCCCCGTGTTGATCACGCCCTGCCCGCGCATCAGCCCGTCGGTGGCGTCCATGGCGATGGTGCGCACCGTGTGGTCCCCAATGTGCTGCGCCACCTCCAGCACCAGCCGGATCTCGTGGTTGGCCACCTCCAGGGCCGACAGGATGGGCGGCAGGTCGCCCTCAAAGTGCACGTCCACCACGGCGCCAATGACCTGCGGCGAGGCGCGGCGGCGGCGGGCGGTGGGAGGGCGGGGGTGGGGCGGAGCGGGCCGGCGGCCGCGGCTGCTTCCAATTTGCCGCGCGTGTCCCGGATCGGGGGCTGGGCGGGACGAGGGCGCGCGTGGAGGCCGGTGGGGTGTCATGGGGGCGGCCACCTCCCCGACCCTAACCACTCCACGCCCCATCGCGGGCCCCAGGTGCTGCCATCGGTGCCAGCGTGCCATCAAGAGGGCCCCTGGGGCGCGGTGGGGCCCCTGGCGGCAGCAAACTCGCCTGGGTTACTGTTCCCTCCGCCACCGCCTCGGCAGGCGCTGGCTCCGCTGCAAAACGCCGCACCATCTGCAGAGCGCTAGGAAGACCAGCCGCAGCAGCAGCCACAGGGGCTGGCGCCGACAGGAGGCCCTGCACGCCCCCACGGAGGGCGGACAGCGCCATGGCTGCAAGCTACGGGCTGAACTAGGGTCCTAGGTGATCAGGAGGGACCTGCGGCGCCAGGGGTTCCCCCTTTTGGCTGCCCACGCTGCCAGCGGTGACCGGGGATCAGTGCGTGGCAGCGCCATGCGGCAGATGGGGAGCCTTGTTTTGAGCGCATGCCGTCCCTGATCATCGCCCTACGCCCAGGCAGCATAGCCGGGGCCCCAGATCGAGGAACGTCAACAGCGGAGGAATTGGCAGCGGAGGAATTGCGGGGCCCGGCACCCCCCGCAGCATCCCCCAGCTTGATGAGATTGCCTGAAGCATCCAACCGCCCGCAGCCTGCCGCCCGTTGCGCCGCTCCGCCACTGCGCCGCCACAACCCTACCGCCTCGTGCACTGGCATGGCGCCCAGCTTGTCGGCCAGCCCGAGGCCGCCATGCAGCAGCTGCAGGCTGCAGCTTTAGCTCGCTGTGTGATTCCTCAGGCAGGACCTGGCGCCGGCATCCCGGGGCTTTGCCACGCTGCGCAGCCTGCACCCGCAGGCCTTTGGGCCCGCGCCGACCGCCAGTATGCCGCGGTGAGGCAGCACAGTGGATGCGCTGGCCGACCCCGCCTGCGGCCTGCACTGGGGCATGGCCACAGTAGACCTGCGGCTGCCGCTGGAGGGCCAGGTGGGCGGCCTGCTGTGTGGCAGCCGGTGGGGCCGCTGCTGCCGGCATGAGGCACCCTCTACCCGCAAGGACAGGGGTGACTGCAACACATTGCTTGCCTTTCTCTTGTGTTAAACCTATGCTGCCGTTGTGCCCTGCTTCTGTCGTCTCTGCCTGTCGTGGGTTGCGCCTCTTTCAGCAGGCAGCCTTCCCTCTCTTTGCCTGTCGCTCCTTTCTGTTTCCGCTCGCTGTTTTCGGTGTGCTTATCAGTGGCAAGCAAGTAAAACAAATACAAAAAAACAGCAGCAAGGCAAAGCAAGGGTGCACCGTGCTGTTGCATGTGGTGCTGGACAAATGCTTGGATGCTCGGGTGCGTTTGGCAGGCATTTCTTTGGAGGCAGGAGGTATCAGCCGCAAGTGTGGTACTCTTCGGTGTGGTTTGGTGACTGTTGCCGGAGGATTGTGAGCTGACGCCACATGGCTGCGCACGCCCTGTGCTGGAGCTAGGGCTGGGCAGCAGCTGCAGCAGCAGCAGCAGGACCAGCAGCCGCGGCGGCGCGCAGGCGCCGGCACTCTGGCTTGTGTGTGCGCCAGTGTGCGTGGCTGCAGGCCTCGCTGCAGTACCTCACACCCCGGCACCTGCAGGCAGGAGGCAGGCAGGGCACAGAAAGCAAACGCAGTAAGCCAGGCAGACAGGCTGGATGCCACCCCAGGGCCAGCTTAATGCACTGGCAAGCCAAACTGTTGCTGCAGTTCAAACATCCACTCACGCAGAACAGCGCTTCAGGTGATGCGTGTTGCCGCAGCCGTCCGCTGCCTCTGCTGCTGGGGGGTCCGCGCTCTCGTGTACTGCGTTTTCAGCATTCAGCACCACAGCAATGTTGTTGGACAAGCTGCGCAGTGCATCAGCTGCGGCCTCCCGCACCTCCTCGCTTGGGCTGCTGCTGTGCAGCTGCTGCAGAGCAGTGATGCCGCCTGCTGCTGCAATCGCCGCGCTGCTGTCGGGGCTGTCCACAGAAAGGCAGCCAAGCGCATGTACGGCTACCGTCTGCAACTCCACACTGGCGCTGCTGCGCAGGAGCTGCACCAACAGAGGGATGGCGCCGGCTGTGCCGATGGCTGTCTTGTTGGCAGGGCTGTCAATGGCAAGGTTCGAAAGAAGAGCGGCTACTGCCACCTGCACCTGCTCGCTGGCGGTGCTGCGCAGGAGCTGCACCAACAGAGGGATGCCGCCGGCCGCGCCGATTGCTGCCTGGTTGACAGGGCTGTCAAAAGAGAGGCAGCCAAGCACGTGGGTTGCTACCACCTACACCTCCTCGCCGGCGCTGCTGCGCAGGAGCTGCACCAGCACAGGGATGGCGCCAGCCGCTCCGATTGCTGCCTGGTTGCCAGGGCTGTCCACAGAGAGGCAGCCAAGCGCTTGGGCTGCTACAATCTGCAACTCCTCGCTGGCAGTGTTGCGAAGGAGCTGCACCAGCAGAGGGATCGCGCCGGCCGCACCAATGGCTGCCTTGTTGCCAGGGCTGTCCACAGAGAGGCAGCGAAGTGCAAAGCTTGCTGCTATCTGCACCTGTTGGCTGCTGCTGCTTCGCAGGAGCTGCACCAGCAGAGGGATGGCGCCAGCTGCTACAAAGGCCTCCCGGATCTCGGAGCCTTGCATGAGAACGCCAGTCACACGAGCTGCCTGCAGCTGCACGAGCTCGCTGTTGCTGTTGCTGCTGCTGTTGCGCAGGAGCTGCACCAGCAGAGGGATGCCGCCGGCAGCTACGATGGCCATTCTGCGGTCAGAGCTGTCGACAGCGAGGCCGCTGAGCGCTGCGGCTGCTTGACCCTGCACCGCCTCGCTGCAGCTGCTCACGCACTGCACCAATGGAGATATGGCGCCGGCCGCTGCAATGGCTGCGGCGTTGCCAGGGCTGTCAACAGAAAGGTTGCGCAGCAGCAAGGATGCGGCCTCCAGCAAATCATCGCTAGCACCGATACTGCTGATGAGCTGAACCAGCGCTGGAATGACGCCGGCCGCCACGATGGATGCCCGGTTGCCAGGATCTGCTATGAGGTTCGCAAGTGCCAACATTGCTTGCCTCTGCATCCTCTCGCTGCTACCGCTGCTGCTGCGCAGGTGCTGCACCAAGGCTGGGATGCCGCCGGAAGCTGCAATGGCCACTCTGCAGTCGGGGCTGACGGCAGCGAGGGCGGTGAGCGCCGTGGCTGTCTCAACCTGCACAGTCTCGCTGCGGCTGCTGCACAGGCACTGCACCAATGGAGATATGGCGCCGGCCGCTGCAATGGCTGCGGCGTTCCCAGGGCTGTCAACAGAAATGTTGCGCAGAAGCATAGCTGCGGCCTCCAGCAAATCATTGCTAGCATCGCTACTGGTGATACAGTGAGCCAGCGCTGGAATGCCGCCGGCCGCTACGATGGCTGCCAGGTGGTCATCGCTTTCACAACATAGGTTAACCAGGGTCCTGGCAGCCTGCACCGCCTGGCGCTCGCCGGCGCTGTGCAGAAGCCTCAGCAGCGCTGGGATGTAGGTGGCTGACGCCATCTGGGAGCGTGGAGCTGGTGCAACTGCACCCGGCGTGCTGGCAGGCACTGCGGCAGGCGGGCGGGCGGCGGGACAAGAGGGTGTGGAGCTTTGGGAGGGCATGTGGTACGCAGCGTAACATTGCGCCCGCAGTGGCATGTGGGAGCAGCAAGCGGACGCTGTTCAGCACCCCTCGCCCACATCGCACCCACCGTGTGGCACACTGTCCGAGCCACTACTGTTAGCCTGCCGGTTCTTGAGCGCCACCCGACCTGCGTCAAGGACCGGAAGCGGAAAGGGCGCTTGCTGGCGAGCAAATGTAGGCACAGCGCTATGTCCAACTGTCCCGCCCGAAGGAAGGAAATCAGCCGGAGGGGTGGGGTGCGATTAGGGCATTGTGTGAGAGAGGCTGTGATGTGCCACCGGGGGACCTAATAAAAACATGTGTGCAAGCATGGTGCAGCTGACGCTGACGGCCGGCTGCCGCTGAGCCCACACCTGCGCGGGATGGAGGGTAGGCACAGCGCGCACAGCATGCCGCGCCCGCCGGCCTGCCCGCCTTCTGCATTTGGCCAACCAAGGCAGAGCCCGCCGCACCTCTGCGGCTGACCTTCCTGCAGCTGTGCAGCATATGTTCGAGGTCGATGCATCGCGCGAAACCAGCAGCGTGCTTGCTGGCGGAGCGGCAGAGCAGGTCGGCCGGACAAGGGCACAATTGGGTTCAGAATTGGATGCATTGAGTGGGCCTGCACTCATGCGTGTGCCTGCGTCATTTGTGAGACCGGTACAGTGCCGCCGTAGCACAGTGTGCTGATGACAGCCCCAGGTGCCTGCCCAGTTCACGTCAGTTGGCTCCGCCGCTGCAGGCGGCGCCGCCATGGCAAAGCGCTGGCTGGGATGGGGCGCCGATGCCACTCCTGCCTCCCCTGAACCACTCCCCTAAACCATAGCCTGCTCGCCCCGCACTCGCATTTAGCGCCAGAATGTGCCGTTGGATCTCCCTCCGCGCCTCGCTAGCTAGCGCGAGGGGGCCGAGGACCGGCATGTTTTATTGCAAGCTTTGTTCATGACAATTCAGTCTGCTAAGATGCTCCTGCTGCCGCGCTGGCAGCAGCGGCACCCCCGGCTCCCCGGAAGGAGTAGAGGTTGCACAGGTCCCAGCAAAAGATGAGCAGCAGGGCCGCGGTGGCGGCAAACGGCAGCGAGCCGTCGCCCGCCAGCAGGCGCCACAGGGCGCGGTAGGCGGCGGCATGCGGCCCGCGCTCGGGCGGCAGCCCCGCGGCGCGGCGCTGGCGCTGGTGGCGGTGGAACAGGCACGCCGCCAGCCGGGCCTCCAGCAGCAGCGGCAGCACCAGTCCGATGCCGATCTGGAAGAAAGAAACGACCGCCACGCACTCCGCCACCGCCTCCTGGCCCCGCGTCGCAGGCCCGGGCGACGCCCCGGGGTGGATGTGGGGCAGGGCGGCCAGCCAGCTGACCATGCTGTGCACGGCGTGCATGCTGCGCTGCACGTCGGGACGCCCCGCCATCAGCGCCCGGCACCCGGGCGCCGCGCTGGGCAGCGCGCTGGCCACTAGGCCCAGCTGTGCGGCCGCGCTCAGGCTGCAAGGGGTCGGGGAAGGCAGGCGGGGCGCGGTGCAGGGTTGATGAGCCCAAACAACATCAACTGTCAGAACACAGGCAGGCCTGTGTGTACCTGCCTGGTTACACCCAAAACCCCGCTCGACCAACACGCCAGGCTTGCCATGCCGACCGCGCATGCATGCACCGTCAGCGGTGAATCCCCAGCCCCAGCCCCAGCCCAGCGTTCACCTGAGGTGCGCCACCCGCAGAGTCACCAGGCCCATCATCATGGCAACGCCCGAGGAGGCAAACAGCAGGACGGCCAGCAGCCGCACGGCGTCCCGCGCGCCGCCGGCGCCGCCGGCAGGGCGGGCCGCGGCTGCCGCGGCCGCCGCCGCCATGCTGCGGTGCACCATGAGCCACACGCTTTGCGCGCCCAGCCCCAGGCCCAGGCCCGTGAGCCGCAGGGCGGCCACCAGCGGCTGGCCGACAAAGGGCAGGGTGGTGCCCTTGCGGCGCAGCTTCCAGCTGATTTTGAGCGCATACGCGGCGTAGGTGGCTGCCTGCCAGTACCACACCGCCGGAGACATCTCCCCCTGGCACCAGCACTTCCAGGTGAACCACAGGTGCAGCACCTGCCGGCAGGCGGTAGACGGGGTGGGCTGGGGGCGGCGAGGCGGGGGCGGCGCACGGTATGGAGGGGCGGGCTCACCATTGCCAGCACATCCTGGCCGATCCGTCCGCACTGGGCCTGCCTTCTGCGGACGTGGAAGGGCTGCGAGGGGTCCAGGGGCAGGCGCAAGGCGCCGGCCGGCTCGCCCCTATGTCACCGCCCCTTCGACAGCAGCGATATGCGGCGATGCAACTGTGGGATGCGCAGCGCGGAAAATTACTGTGATCCCCGGAGCTCCCGGAAACAGTGAAGCTGCCGCAGCGCACGCGGCGCCGCCACCGCATCCGCCGGCGCCGCCACCGCATCCGCCATCCCCGCTTCTTAGCAGCGGTCACAAGAGAAAGAGACGACGCAGTCGAGAACACAACGTAGAAAGGCGAGGTGGCAGCAGCAACACGGTCATGAAAGGCGGGCAAGGTGTCGGAGGGTGAGCGCAAGGAAAGAGCAGGTCAGCGGGAAGAGGATTCACGGCTGCGCGGGGCTCCATCATACAGAGGCGCAGCTGGGCGTCCTGCCGCGGCCCACGCGCGCCGGCTGGCTGCCGGCCCTTTGTAGCTAGCCTGCAGACGTGGCGCGCCGTGCGGCCCGCCGCGAGCACCCGCCGCTGCCCGCCGCCCGTGCGGTGCAGTCAAAACAGTCAGCAGTGCGTGTCTTGGTCCGTGCATGCGGCGCCAGGGGGCGCCCGGGGCTTGCGACGCAGCCGCCCCGCATGCGCCTCCCGCGCTCGCCGCAGCGTCGTCAGGCCGGCCAGGGCAGCGCCTCGAGCCTCTCCCAGGCCGGAAGCAGCACGGGGCAGCCTCCTGGGGCGGCCCCTCCAGCTGCCGGGCGCCGGCGGCAGCGGCGGGCAGCTCATACGGCCACCACCTCCCGCAGCGCCGCCATCTCCGCCATCAGCGCCGCCTCGCGGTCGCACAGCTCCTGGAAGCGCCGCTCCAGGGCAGACCGCTTCTCAATGTCCTCGCCTGCGGGGCGGGTGGGGCAGGAGGGGCGCGTAGGGGAGCGTGGGTGTGGGGGCGCGAGGCCAGGATGGGAGGTCAGCCCAGCCGTCGTCGTGGCGGGCTGAAGCCTGCCGCCTGGCGCGCCGCTCCTCTGCCGCTGCTGCCTCTGCCGCGCCGCCGGCTGCCGAGCACCGCCGCACAGCACCGTCGCCCCGGCCGCCGCAGCCGCGTCGGCGGCCCCGCAGCAGCCCCGCAGCCAGCACAGCCGCAGCCCAGCAGCAGCCCAAATCAGCACTGCGCAGCACAGCGCTGCCCCGCTGCCGCTGCCCCCTGCGCCAGCCCTAACCCCTCCCCCTCCCAGCCCGGCCGCTCACGGTTGGCCTCCTGGTACTCCAGAATGTTTATCTCCGCCTCCACAATCCGCTCCTTGCGCTCCAGCACCGCCAGCATCTGCGGGAGGGAGGCGGCGGCGGCAGGCGGCGGTGGAAGACGGCGGCAGGTGCAGGCAGGGTTGTGGTGTGTGCCTATGCGTCGGGAAGGCAGGCAGGCAGGCACCAGGCGAGCAGCAGCTGCCGGCAGCGCCGGCCGCCGGCGACAGCGCCGCCGGCCGGCGCGCGGGGAGGGCGGTGAGCGGCCTTGCATGCGGCCCGCCCAGTCTGCCGCAGCGGGCATGCCGCACCTGCTGCAGCTCATCCTCTGCTGCGACAGGCAGCCGCGCGTGGAGGTATGTGGGCTCGAATGGAGCGTCGGCAGGCACCGGCGCGCCGGCTGCAAGGCAGGGGGTCGGCATGGGTGTGCATGAGCGCATTGCTTCACCCCCAGGGTCAGCACACGCGTGGCTGGCAGCCGGTGCTGGAGGCGTCAACACAACCTGCCGGCTGTCGCCGGCGGCGTGCTGCCGCTTGTTGCCTGCTGCTGCCGTGAGGCCGCCGCACCAAACACCGACCACCACCACCACCACCACATAAAACATGTACTCACATACGCTCTTCCGCTTCTTGCTGGGGGCGGGCGCCAGCGCGGCCAGCAGCCCCGGCGGCGGCCCCTGCGCCAGCACCTCGGGCGGCACGTACGGCTTCTCCAGCTGCCGCCGCGAGCCGTGCACCTGGGTCATGTCCACATACTCCCCCACTACATAGTCGCCGCCCTGCGGGGCGCGGGGAGAGGCAGCGGTGGGAAGGGAAGCAAAGGGTGGCCGGGGAGGGCGAGGAGCAGGCAGGGAGCCGGGCGAGGGTGTGCGCAGGGAGGGCACGGCGGGGTGAGGGGGGCGACGGGAAGGAAGGCAAAGGAGCCCTCCCCCTGCTCAGCAGCCAGCCCTCGCGACCAGGCCGAGCACACCGGCACGTTGCAACGGAACGGCGCAGCACGCGCAGCAGCCCAGGGGGCGCTCCCCCACCACGCGGGCACCCTGCCGACCCGTCTTGCGCCACGCGGGCCGCCTCTGCCGCGGCCTGCGCTGCGGCAACCCCCCCAGCACACCACTGCGGCGATCCCGGCAGCGCACCTCGACGGCAGTGGCAAAGTGGAAGACCTCCTCTGTCGACTCGCGGGTGTTGGGGTCGTACACAATCACGTAGCCGTCGTCGTCTGCGGTACCGGCAGGCGGTACAGATGCGTGAGCGGCGGCGCGGCCGGCGGAGGGCCCTGCGCCTCCCTTTGGCTCCGCCCGGCGCTGGCAGGGCTGGGCTGCGGCCGGCACGCCCGGGTGCGCTGTCTGGCCATACATGCGGATGCCCTGCCACCTAACAGTAACATGCCCTGCCCCCTGCAAGCAAGCAATGGCGCGGCGGCGGCACACGATGCACGCGGGAGCCGCACCCGGGTTCCACTGCTGGATGAAGCCCTCCACCCAGGGCGGGCTCTCCAGCGGCCAGAAGCGCCACAGGCGGCGCCCCACATATCCCAGCGGGTCCACCGCGCCGCCAAAGCCGTTGTTCTGCCGCGTGGAGCGCGAGCGCTGCATGCCGCTGGCCAGCCGCTGCACGCCGCTGCCCATGGGGGCGCCCAGCCCGCCGCCGGGCGCGCCCAGCGGCCGCGCGGGCCCCGCTCGCCGCACCGACGGCTGCTGCCCCAAGCTGCCGCTGCGAGGGAGGGCAAGAAGGGGAGGGGTGCCGGTGCGGTTAGAGACAAGCCGGTGGCGAGAGCATGGGTGCGACACCTGCGCTGGCAGAAAGCAGCAGGGGCAGCGACCCGGCGCCCCTCGAAACCCCACACCGCCCCCTAAAGGCAGCGGCAGCAGCAGCAGCAGCAGCAGCAGCAGGCGCGTGCAACAGAACGCACGCCCGGGCCTTGGAGGCGCCGCTCCCGCCGCCGCCGCCAGCCCTGCCCTTTGATGTTCCTTTTTTGGAGCGCCCGCGCTGCAGCAGCTTGCTGCTGCGCTCGCTGCCCTCGCTGTACGCTGAAACCTCCCCGCTGCTCAGGCTGGTGCCTTCCGACACAGCTGGCAGCGCCTGGCGCCGCCGCGGCGGCGGCGGCGGCGCATACGCGAGCTGCTCCGCGCTTTGCTGCTTCACCAGCGGCGGTGCCTGTTGGCCAGCAGCCCTGCGCGGATGGGCCCTTGGCGCGCCGGCAGGCAGCCGCATGAATGGCGGGGGAGGCAGGCAGCACATGCACCGGCAGCGGCAGCTCTCTCCATCTTTGGTGGGCCTGGGCGAATGCTTGGGTGGGCGCTCGAGTGGGCTTGGCAGGTGCTGGCATGTGCGCTGCCGGTGGGCGGATCATGGTCGCACGCACGTTTGGGCAGCAGCCAGCAGCAGCCAGCAGCAGCAGCAGCAGCAGGGCTCACCCTATCGAGGGCGCCGGCGCCAGCATCGCGTTCTTGCCGCGCCCGCCGCGCGAGGGCATGCCGCCGCTGCGCACCGCCACCACGTCGGGATCGCTGCGCATCTCGCTAGTGATGGTCTGCGGCCAACAGGGAGCTCGAAACGTGTCTCAATCGGTGAGCGGATCTCTCTGAACATGGCAGCGGGTGCGTAGGCGGGGGACGGGCGGGACGGCGCCACCGCCACCGCTGCGTCAGCCAGCTGCTGCCCCCACGCCCGCGGAGCGCGGCGCGCACCGAGTGCATCTGGTTGCTGATGTTCCAGAAGTCGCGCAGCTTGGTCAGCACGTCCTCCTGCTCCTGAAAACAGCAGGACAGCGCAGGAGGCGGCGCGGCTTCAGGGGGGCTGCTCTGGCATCTTACGGTCCCATTCACCATCTAAACCATGCCAGAAGGGCAGCGCCCGCAAGAGGGGCCGCCCAGCAGCCTGCACGACAAGCGGCGGCTCCGCTCACCCATCTCAGCGACTCCTGGGCGTAGAACGCTCTGCAGACCGCAGTGTATGCCTCTGTTTGCAACGCCTGCAATCCTGGCGAGGACATTGCTGCTGCTGCGCGCCCCCGCTTCACACAACTGCCGACTGGGTGCTAGGGCAGGCTGGGGGCAAGCAGAGAACGTTGGTGAGATCCCCAAGCAGCAAGACAAGGAGCGAGAGGAGACGAGGGAGGGCCCAAGAGGCAGGGGAGGCCTTTCCAAACCACGCTGGCAGAATTGCATGCAGCCACTGGTGGTAAATCGGATGTATGCAGCGTGCAACACCATGCAGCACCCGCCCAGAAGGAAGATGCATGAGTTGACAGCTTGCGGCGCCACGGCCGACACTGTGGGGCCCAGGGTGCCGCCATTGGCGGGTCCCGCCCCTTGTGGCGGCGGGAAGAGGCGGGGCAGCTCATGTGGCAGCTGGTGCATCTAAGTGTGGCGTGCACCGCCAATCAGACTGCTCGGAGGGGCCGCATAAACTGGTAGGAACATGCTCTTTGCATGCAGTCAAACACTCTCGCCCGGCGGCGGCCCGGCGGCGGCAGCACGCCCCTCACGTTTCAGGCAAAGGAAGCGCCAATGCAGCCTGGCTGCAACTATTTGCAGGTCGCTATCAGATCGGTTGCCGACACTACGCCTCCCTGACCGGAGTTGGCAGGCTCCGCCAGTGCGGATGCCGCCGAGAATGTGCCTCGCTGGCGCCAGCCGTCAAAGTTTTGCTTTCCTGAAGCAACCCCCCCATGGGCGCTGATCATGCTCTGATCATCCATCCTGCACCATCCAAGATGGCAAACCAGCAGCTGGAGGTGTTGGAGCAGCTGGCGGAGCTTGCCCCCACTCAATTCCTGGAGCGCACGCCTGGGGGGCAATCCACGCTGCGAGAGCTGTACAGCCAGGCCGCGGAAGCCGACCTGGTGCCCTCATCAGCCGCCGCCGATGACATCGCGAGGCTGCACGGGCTGTGGGAAGTGGCTCTGGACCATGGCATGGGCGGGCTGGTGCTGGACTACCTCTCCCAGGTGCGCGGGCACCGCCAGCCGACCGCTGCCGCCGTCTGCCGCCGCCGCCGCCCAACTCCTCTGCCCTCGCCACCCCGTTTCCGCAGGTCTGCTTTGACCGCCTGCGCACCTCCAGCGACCCCCTGGAGTCGTTCCTGATGGACGGCGAGTGCGTGAGGCGCTGGGTGCAGAAGCTGCTGGCCGTCAGCCGCGGACGCCTCGCTTCGTGGCTCGCCCGCGGCCTGAGCTCCGCCGGCGGCGCAGGTGCGCTGCCTTTTGTGGCCCGGCGCAGGGCCCTGGGCGCTGCCGCTGGCAGCCGGGCAATGCCGTCCTCACCCTCGTGAGCCGCCTTGCGCCGCGCCAGGGGCAAGGCTGCCGTGGCCGCTCCTCGCCACACTCCCTCTCCCGCTTCCGTGTGCCTCCCTGGCTGCACCTGCTGACGCTGACACCACGGTCCCGTTGCCCCACACTCCACCCCACTCCAGGCATCCTGGCCAAGGAGCTGGGCCGGCTGCAGATGCTGCACCTGGTGGCCGAGGGCCTGCAGCCGCACGCCGACGGCGGCAGCACGCAGCCCGCCGCCACCACCACCGCCGCCGCCGCCGCCGCCGCCGCCGCCGCCGAGGCTGGCGAGCTAGCTGAGGCCTCCCGCCTGCTGCTGTGCGCGCGCGTGCTGGCCTGGCTCAGCCAGCAGCGCCTGGCATTCGAGCGCACCACCGGCCGCTTCTTCTCGGAGCAGGAGTGGCGGTCGGTGGCGGCCAAGCGGCGGGAGGGCGCCGCCGCCGCGGCAGGCGGCGGCGGCGGCCTCTTCTTGTCCGACCTGCTATCTGAGCTGGCGCGGCACGGCCCGGACAGCCCCGCCTACCCACCCAGCTCGGCAGACCGGCTGCTCTCGGCACTCTTCCTGGCCCCCGGCGGCAGCGGCAGCGGCGGGGCGGCGGCGGCAGGCGGCGGTACTTTCAGCGGTACTTTCAGCGGTACACCCGGCGAGGCGGCGCTGCACGCCAGGCTGGCACTACTGGCGTACTACCTGGCCGACGGCGGCTTCATGCAGGCGGAGGCGGTAGTGGAGGGGCTGAGGTGAGCTGCCGCGCCTGCACCGCATCGCCTCCCCGGCACGCCGCCTGTCATAGCTTACAGCCGCTTTCTGGCAGCAGGAGCAGCCGCAGGAGCAGCGCCGGTAGGTACAGATTATGTAATCTGTACCTGCGCCTGGAGGGGCTGTTGTTGCTGTGGCCGACAGCAGGGGCAGCAGCGGATGTGCCTGCGCCGGGTGCGGCGACGCTGGCTGCTGCCTTGCGCCCCTGTTCCGCAGGGCGCACTTTGGCGTGCCCCCCGCCACCGCCGCCGGCTGGCTGCTGCAGCAGCTGCTGGACGAGAGCGGCGGCGGCGGCGCCGCGGGCGCCGCGGCGCTGCAGCGCGCCGCACAGCTGGTGCCCGGCGCGGACGGCGCCGGGCTGCCGCACCGTGTGCTGCAGGTGCGGGGGGCGGCGTGCGGCGGGGGCGGCTCCGCACCTGCGTGTGACTGTCGGAGGGGGGGGTGCCGCCTGTGGACGCGACGGCGCCATGACTGGTGCAGGCGGCGCCTGCGTGCTGTGTGCCGGGGCTGGAGGGGCAGCCGTGGGGGCCAACACCACACCACACCACCATACACCACCCACGCCACGCCACGCCACGCCACGCCACACCACACCACACCACACCACACCACACCACGCCACGCCACGCCACGCCACTCCACTCCACACCACGGCACACCACACCACACACCACACCCAGCCATGCCTGCCTCCTCCCCCGCAGGTGCTTGTGGGCCGCGGCCGCCCCGACCTGGCGGTGCTCCTCCTGCGCCAGCGCCCCGAGTCGGCGGGAGGGCCGGGCGAGGCGGCGGCGGCGCTGGCCGTGAGATTCCAGGCTGGGTTGCTCACAGAGGCAATCCTGGGGGTGAAGCGCGCCCTGGCGGCGGCCGACGGCGGCGGCGACGGCGGCGCCGACGCGGCGCCGCTGCTGGGGCAGCTGCTGCAGTATGCGGCGGCGACGCGGGGGCCCGACGGAATGACTCTGGTGCATGCCGTGGCGCGCATGCCGTGGCGTGCGGCGGAGGAGGAGGTGGGTGGGGCTAGGGTGGTGGGCAAGGCTAGGCTGGGGGTGGCGGGCAAGGCTGGGCTGGCGGTGGGTGCCAGGCTGGTGGCAGGTTGGCAGCGACTGGGTGGAGGGGGTGGAGGGCAGGGCGACTGGCCTGACGGCGGTTGCCAGGCTGGCGGCGGCGTGGCCGGCGCCCGTGCCGGCTGGCTGCAGAGCCTGCGTGCCGGCCCGCGCGCCTGTGGCGGCATTGCTTTGTCGTGCCGTGCCGTCGTTCTGTTCTGCTCTGCTTGGCCGCTGCCGGCGGCGCTTCTGCAGCCCCACCCCTGCCCCCCCGTGCTGCTGCTGAGCTGCTGCAGGCGGTGGTGGGCTGGCTGGAGGGGCAGGCTGCGGGGGGGCAGCTGGAGGCGGCGCTCATGCTGCCCCTGTACTTTCTTCTGAGGGGGCGCACACCAGAGGCGCTTCACGCCTATGCGCGCCAGTGCCCCGCGACGCCCACCACCCAGCAGCAGGCAGATCTGGCTGAGCTGCTGGCAGAGGCTGCCCGCATGCTGCCAGCGCCGCAGCGCGCCCTGGTGGTGCGCCGCGGGGCGGCGCCCGCACTGCTCCCGGCCGACGGCGGCGAGGAGGGCGGCGGCGTGGCGCTGATGGCGGCGATCCCGGCGGTGGCTGCTGACGTGGCGCCCGCCATGCTAGCGGTGGGGCCCTCGCCCGCGCAGGCGCCCCTGGTGGGCAGCGTGCCTGTGCTGCTGGAACGGCGGCGCATGGCGGCGCTGGCAGCCGCGCGGGCAGCCGCGGCGGATGGCGGCCGCGACGCGCACGAGCCCGGAGCGGCGACGGCGCCCCGCGGCGGCGCTGCGCAGCAGCAGCCGCCCGCGCTGCTGTTTGGGCAGCAGCAGCCGGCGGCGGCGGCGGCGGCAGACGCCTCCCCAGCACCCTCGGCGGTCTTTGGGGCCACCGGCAAGGAGGCGCTGGCAAGCTCGGCGGTATTTGGCGGCGGCGCCGCCGTGGCCCACGAGTTTGACCGAGTGCTGGGCCTGGGCAGCGGGCGGCCGGCCGCAGCTGGCGCGCGTGGCGGCAAGCGCCGCTGGGCCGGCGGCAGCGCGTATCGCTGACCAGGCGGCTGCCCGAGTGATGCCTGCTGGTAAGGGTGGGGGTAGGGTATCCCTCTCCCTCCCGGCGTGCCCGCCCTCCTCACTGCCTGACTCAAAACTGTTCCATTTGCGCGAGGCACATGTGGACTCGGCAAGAGCATGTCACAAATAGAAGGAGGGGCTGACAGAAAGAGAGGGGAACCCTCTAGTAGAAGTTGGTGGGGCGGAACCCTGACGGCTCTCCGAGTCGGCGCTTCCAAGGGCTCCAGCGCTCCAAAATGCTGCTTGGTCTCATGGCTCCTGTTTTGGCAGGCCCCATGTCATATACCCTGCGTGAATTGGTGGTGCAAGGGGTTCCGGACCGAATGCTCCGACGTGGCACATGCCATGTTTCGAAGCGCTGCACGTCATGACGTGCAGCAGCAGCGTAGCGGCGCTTTAAACTGTCCGCAACACAAACCGCCTTCGCTGGACGGCGTGCACATGCACCTGAGCCCGCCATGTGTCGCTGCACTGTTCCTCTCAGCTCCAGGGGCGCCTCCCCCGCCTCCTCGGCGGGTCTTCTCGATGATGCGGATCTCTCCTACGTTTTCTGGCTCCTGAAGGACGAAAACCTGCCCTCAGGTGGGAACTCACTGTCGGCACACTTCCGGTTGCAACTTGTCGAACGTCGAGGCTGCCGCCCCCCCATCTCCCTGCAGAGAATACACACAGGGATGGCTACCCGCCTCAATGCCTGCCTTGTGAGGGGGCGCCAGTCGCCACCTTCCACATAGCTGCGCCGCCGCTGCCGACTCGCCAGCGGCCACACCTGCACCCAGCCTCATCAGCAGGCCTCCACTCGCACCAGCAGCAGCCGCCAGCAGCCCCCCTCGCACCCACCCCCTTCGCGGCCTGCTGGGTGCAGCAGGCTGCACCCTTCGGCACATACCCGCAGCCCCAGCCGTCGCCGCCTGCGCGCCTGGCATATGCCGCCACCTCGGCGCCTGCGGCTGCGGCTTCGGTGCATGCCTCGTCCGGCGCAGGCGCAGGTGCCAGCGTGGGCAGCTGGCTGGCGGCATGGGTCGCCCTGGCCCACGACTCAGCATACTGGGCGGGCCTGGGCAGCGCCGCCTCGCCACCTGCCGCCCAGCAGGCTGGCATGAAGCGCAAGCGCAAGGCGGCGGCGGAGGCGCCGCCAGCAAACCCGTGGTGAGGGGCTTCCCGCCTGCTGACTGGTGCTTGGCACGCCAGCGCGCCGCGCCTGCATTCTCAAACCGTCTGGGCTGAGTGGCAGCCATGCCAAGGCGCTCTGATGCACGGCCCGCAAGCTGCCTGCCCAGCCTGGATGTGCCTGCTGCGGTCTGCCCGATCGGCGCGCCTGCCCTCCTGCCCCGCCCCGCCCGCTGCAGGAACGGCGGCAGCTTCCGCTGCAGCAGCCAGCCGGCATGGACAGCCGCGCCCCCCGGCGCTTCACGCTGGGAGGACCTGCAGCCGGCCCCCGCGGCCGCGGCAGCCGCTCCGCCAGCCTGCGCCACAGCCTGCGCCGCGGCATGCGCTGGGAGCGGCGGCGCAGCCGACTCCTGTTGCTCTGTTGACTGGGAGTGGGTGGTGCCGGCGCAGCTGCGCGGCTGCGGCGGGTGGCAGGCCGAGGATGGGCCGGCGCCGCCACCAGGCGCTCCAGAGCTGGGCGCTGGGCTGGACGCAGACTGGGAGCTGGCAAGCGCCACGCTGCTGCTGTCGCCCGCCTGCCCGCTCAGCGGTTACTAGGCGCCGCGCCGCCCACCTGCTTCCCACGTTTCTCATGCATCCGTCCATCCATCGCTGCTTCCTCGGCACCACATCCGCCACATCCACGCTGCGGCCCGCTGGGCGCCCATATGCCGCGCCGCCGCCGCCTTGCTCATTTTTACACTTTTTTTCACCATTGCCTTGCTCGCCGGCCCAAAACACGTGCCGCCTCTGTTGCATGAACCCCTGGTGCGAACGCCGAGGCCCACATCTGCCCCCCCCCACATGTGACCCTTACCTGTCACTGCCTTGCACACGCCCCTGCTATCCACAAGCACCACCTCTACGTTTGTTTCCACATGCTTGAACTCCTGCGTGCCCTGGCACTGCCCCGCCTTTGAGCCATCCAATGCACCACTGAAGCCGCCTCCTTACCTTTCTGTGCGGTGCTCCCACGCTGCTCCGCTTACTATTTCATGGGGAGCACCTGTTTTGCAGGCGCCTTCTGTTTCCCCCCTGGCAGCAGCCTCAGCCTGAGTGCCAGCAACTTACTCTCTCCACGTACATTTCCCTACTTACTAAGCGAAAACTCCCCCGTACACCACCTCTCTCCCTTTCATCCATTCCGTCTGGCTTTATTTCCTTCGGTGCATCCCTTTGTGTTTTATTCTTTTTGATTTGCCCCACCATCGTGGAGGCTCACATCCATTCTGCCGCCCGTCACCCGCCAGCATCACCCTTCATGCACCGTCGCAGCTCCGTTGCTGTGTCATGACCTTCACCCTGCCCGCCATCGATGACATCACACGATCCTGCCGCCGCCGTTGCTTCCCATTGAACTCTTGGCAACGTCTTCTGCAAACCGATCACCACGCTCATAGCAGGCTTAGCACATTGTATGTGCCCCCGAGTTGGCGCACCACCAGGGTCACCCACTGCACGGTGCAGCAGCCTGAGGCAGCTGCAGGCAGTCTCATGCCCGCTTCGAGCGTATGCTCGTGGCTGCTCAACACGGTCTGTTCGTGTGTGCTGCCCCGTGCCTGCATGCCATCCTGCCAACCCTCCCCAGGGCGCAAGCCGGCATCCAGGGGCAGAATGTGCCCCAAGATCTGACCTCTGCACATGTGCCTGCTGGCGCGGCGCCCGCTGGCGTGGACGCCTGGACGTGGAAAAGAGCACCACAGAAACCTCCCGCCCCATGTCCTCACACTCTTTACTAGCACCATAAGTGCACAATGTGTCGCGGGGTGTCTGTTTCCGTGCAAGGCTACCTATACGCTCAGCGGGCGCTCCAGGGCTGCACAGGTGGGTGCCCGCCTGCGGCGTTTGTGACAACCCACGAGTGCTGGGGAGGCTTGGAACCCGCGCAATACCGGCGGCAAGTGAGGGGTTGCGGGCCTCCGACATGAGAGCCCATTTTGCTGCCGGGACCCCATGGCTGCTGCAGGCGGCACCCACGATGAACCGAGACATGCTCCTTGGGGCAGCCGCGCGGGCGGCGGCGACTATGGGCTCCTGGCGGCCGCCACCTGCGCCACGGCGGCGGGGCACATCAACGCCTCAACTCCCCCTCACTCCCCCGCCTCCAGCCGGCGTGCTGGGGCATCACCACAGGGGAGTGCAGGCAGCACCAGCGGAGGCAGGAGGTCCGAGGAGGCCCTGGCCTGGGCGGCGGCCTGGGGCCACTATGCGGCGGCGCAGGGCTGCGCGGTAGACAGTGAGCATGGCGCCGCTGCAAGCAGCGGCCTGGACTTGCTGCACCGCCACACACCGGCCGCAGGCGGGCCTGCGGCTGCCCTCGGCTTCGCAGACCCTGGTGCCAGGCGGCCGGCAGAAAAGCGCAAGCTGGCTCAGCTGGCGGATGGCGGCCACTCCCCCAGCCACTCCCACCTCCGCCTGGCGGCGCCACGGTAAGCGCCAGGGCTGGGGCTGCCCCTGGCTGACTGCAGGGGCGCCACGCCTCTGCAGGTTTGCTCGCTCGTGCAGGCTCACTCCCACACGCCGCCTACTTTCCATGCGCCGCAGGGATGCGCCAGAGGAGGCTCGCCAGCTCCGCCCACGCCGCACACGGCTGCGCTGCCGCACCAGCTGCCCGCCCAGCGGCGCAGAGGGGCCCAGGACGACAACAGGTGGCGGCGGCGCTGCCCGTGGCATCCAGACCTCGTCCCTGCCAGCCGCGCCGCCTCCGGTTGCTGCGCTGGCGCCCCAGGCGCCGGTGCCTCCCCACCAAGCGGCCCGGGCAGGCTGCGCATCCCGCCAGGCTGGCATCAGCCTGCTGCAGTCCCCGTCCCCGCTGGGCATGGCCCCGCAGCCTCAGCCTGCCAGCGGCGGCAGCAGCCTCGAGAGCAGCGGCTGCCTCAGCGGCTTCTGCGCCGGAGCCTTCGACTGGGACTGGGATCAGCTGGTCTCCCCGCTGCCTGGCCCAAACGGCTGCCAGCTGGCAGGCAGCGAGTGTGATGGCGGCGAGGCCGCTTGCCACCTGGCCGCCACCTTGGCATTCCTCGACAGCGATCCGGACTTCGACCTCGACTTTGACCTTGTGGGCGGCGAGGCGCTCGTCTCGCCGGCGGCGCTCAGCTGGCTGTGAGGCAGGAATCGCACGCATGCGCCCCTCCAGCGCTGTCGAATGCCGGCGGTGCCCGCGTGCCCTCCCTCGCCTCTGTAGACGCAAAACTGAATGCATTCGCTGGCTGGATGAAGCACGCACCGTGAATGCCATTCGAGGCACATGATGTGTCTCTTGAATCTGAAGCCCTGGTCCCTCTCTAAAAAACAATCTTGGCCCACAGCCCTTTTTTGCCACTTCTTTTCCACACCTTTTCCCAATGGCTTTCCCTCCATCCATTCTACCTGCCCCTTCCACCCATCCTGCGGTACCCTCCCTCCACACTTCCTTCAACCTACAGGCGCGTTGCCTCTTTTGTATGCCGTACGGCCCCACCGTCACCTCCTCGCACACACTCCGATCTAGCGCCATCACCTGCCTGCCACCCACCTGCCGGGCGCGGCACACCCATCGAACACCTTCACGCACCCCTTCCGCAGCCGTTGACGCTTGCCCTGCATCTGCTCTGTCGTACCTCTGTTCTACTTGGCGGCGCTTCAGTGCACTGTCCCCTATGCATACTCTCTTGTATTCAGCAAACCAAACGCACAGCGGTACCCTTTTACTTCTCCCACCTGCCTCTAGCACCACCCGCAGGCAGCGGCGCCAGGCCCTCTGCCAGTGTGTGCCCCCAGGGCAGTTGACGTGCATGTGCCGCACGTGCGGCACAGCCACAGCCGTCATTGCGGCAATGTATGCCTGACTGATGCGCCACGATGTAAAGCAAAAAACATTCACAGAGCTTGGGCCCGTCGGCAGGGACGCTGCATGGCGGGAGGTGGCCCCAGCCGGCAGCGGGGCAGCCCCGCTGCGGGCTGCGGCAGCGAAGCTGGCGGTGCCACACGGGGGCATGCGCAGATGGGGCAAGCTGATGCCAGTGGTTCACAGTACTCTGCCAGAAAGAGCCGAGAGCAATGCAGGCTGGCCAGGTGGCTCGCCAGCTCAGCGACGGCCGGGCCGCGGCGGGACTGTGCTGCCGCGCCACGCTGGCAGCATGGAGGGTGCAGGGGCAGTGGGGAGGGCAGCCTGGCGTGCTACACCTGCACCTGAATTTGCGTCGGATGTTTGGCTTCGCGCTGTGTCGGACCTGGAAAGGAAGAGGGAGGGCCTCCTCAGCCACACACTGCCAAGTCACAGCGCAGTCAGGCATGGGGTTTCGGGGTAACCTCCCCCACGACATATCTTCTCTCCGCAGATATTGCGACGCCATGTTTTGCTGCCCCGCCTTCGATTAGAAGCCCTCGGGCAGCGCTAGGCCACAGTCATGTGCAGGCCCTCTTCCCTCCCACCCATCTTGGGGACCTGTATCGAAGCATCCGAGCTCACAACGACGCAAGATGGCATGAGGCTCCGCAGCGCGCCGCCATTGTGCTCATGGGTGGCAGAAAGCGAGAGCGGTGAGCCTCCGGTCATGGCACGGTTAGGGCGCGGAGCTGGGCCTGCTGTTGCCGCTGGATGAGGCGAATGAGTTCCGGAGGCTTACCAAGCCCTTTAAAGAGCGAATGCAGCCAGTCGTTACCTGGTGAGGCGTGGTCCACATACGCTTTGCCTCACGCTCTCTGAAGACATCGCGCGCGTTGCCTCTGCAGATTTCCGGCGTGTCGGGCGGCTCCGCCTGTGGCACCCAGACCAGCCGCAGGGAGGCCAGCACACCGGCAGGTGTGCAGCCTGCACCAACACGCGGGAGGTGGCCAACACCCACCTCCCGCCGCCGGCAGTCCTGCCACCGCTCGCGGCGCCCAGCTGGCCCCTGCCAGCCCTGGCTGTGCCACGCAACCAGGCCAGCCACGCCTACGCGGGGCAGGCCAGCCCCCAAGGGGTGCGCACGCCCCCCAAGCGGGCTGGCAGCGCCGCCTCCAGCTCGGGCGCTGCTGCTCCGCCCCGCGGGACCGCCAGTCGCTGTGGGGAGGATGATGCCCTGTCCTGGGCCCTGGCCTGGGGCCGCCTGGCAGCTGGCCAGGGCTGCGCAGTCGACACCAGCAGCGGTAACAGCAGCAGGAGCAGCGTGCCCCCAGCACGCCGGGTGGCCAGCACTGAGCGGCCAGCTGCCCTGCACGGTGGCAGCCGGGGCGCCGCCACGGCGACGGGCAGCATGCTGCGCCTGCTGCTGCCCACCAGCCGCAGCTGCGCTGGCTCGCCGCGCCTCCCTGGGCGCAGCGGCGCTGTCGACAGCTGGACCCCTGCCCCGCCACTGCCAGCTCAGCGCCCAGGCCTGAAGCGGAAGCTGGAGGGGGGGCCAGCGCCGCTGGTTGTGCTGCTGTCGCTGCCGTCAAGCAGCAGCGCATCCGCCTGCCCCCGCCACGCCGCCCCGCAGCCCGTCTTGGCACTGGTGATCCCTGGGTGAGCACAGCAGGGCCAGTCGCGGGTGGGCGGTCGCGTACCAGCCACTGCCTGCCCGTCGTCGCGCCAGCTGCCCGGCAGCTGGCCCCACTGAGCAAGCAACGCTCGTGGCAGAGCCACACGACCCGCTTCCCGCCTGCCGCCGGCGGTGTTGCTTGGCTAGGCATAGCCCGCCGGCCCGCCTTTGTCTGTGTGACCCCAGCCCTTGGCGTCCCCAGCCTCCCAGGCATGTGTGTGCTGCCTATGCGTGTCTACCCTCACAACCCGAGCACCCCCCACCTTCTCTCTGCCCTGCAGGCCGCCAGTCTCCCTGCCCCCCGCCACCTGGCCGCCGGCGCTGGCTGACGCCGCCGCTGACGGCACCAGCACCACCGCGCTGCCCAGCCTGCGCTCCCTCCATCTGCCCCCGCCCCCGGCCGCCCCTGTGGCACCTGTGCAAGCACCCAGCATGCGCCTGCTGCCCGCGCCGCCGCCGCCAGCCCCGGCTGCGCGGCCCGCCTCCCCTGACCGCCCTGCCAGCGCCACCGGCGGCGACGCGGCCCTCTGGCCCGACTGCAGCCTGCTTACCACCGGCGCCGACTGGAGTCTGGGGACAGATGTGCTGGGCCCATGCGGCATGGCGTGGGAGGGAGGGCTGGACCCTGCTGAGGCTGCCCGCCTGGACGCAGCCCTGGCTGCGCTGGACGCTGAGCCATCCCCGCCCCCAGCCGCCTTTTGGCTCTGATGCCAGTCCGCGGCGGCACGCCCCGCTGGCAGCGGCAGGGTACCCCGCAGCGCTGTGTTTTTGTGGCGCCAGCCACCGCTACCAAGTCATGCCTGCTGTACTTGGCAACCATCAATCCCTCAATTAACCCATCCATCTATCGAATCATCACGTCTAAGAATGATGCACACTCCTTACGTTTTGTGTTGGCGTTTTGTTGCTGCATCCCCGTTTCATTCGCATGTGCTCAAGCGCAGGAGCCGCCAAGGCTCGCGCTGCACACACTGTGCGCACCCTTTCATCGTATACCCCATTGATAGGTGGGCCTGTCAACGAGTCGCTCTGCGGCTTGGCCTTGAAGCCCCACCACCCCTCCTTTTCAGCTCTGTCAGGCCCCTTATCTTCCAGCACATCCATTCTGGTCCCACCGGCCCCGCAATCCTCCAGGCTCCAACTCACATGCTCCCTTAAAACGCCCTGAAATACCACCTTTTTTCCAAACCCTTGGGCTGGCCAGCTGGATTCCAGCTACTCATTTTTGCCAGCCACTACGCCCCCATGCGCAGCTCCCATCAACGTCACCCTCTCGTCATGCCACATAGGCACAGTGCCCCTGCATCCATCACCGTAAACTCAAGCTCGCTCCCGATTTTCCAGCAACCCGTGTCCCCTTCTTCGCAAGACTGTACACCCTCTTGCCCTCCCGCATGATTAACTGGTTCTACCACCACTGGTAGACGGCTGCCAGTGGCAGCCGCCGCCGTTCCCTTTTTTTTCCCACTGGTGAATCACCCTTCCTGCGCGTTCATGATTGCCATACTTCCTTGTCAAAATCCATTGTAACAACTCATAAATTCAGAAAAAACGCGCCTCCAGCGGCTGAGAGGCGGCGGCGGCGCGCCGCCGCCACCGTCGCCCTCGGGCCAGTTGTGCTGGCAGCTGATGCGCCTGGAGTTGTATGGCCACTGCCGGGCATTCCGGCATCTCCAGCGGGGGTGTCTGTGCATAATTCGAAGGGTGTGACCGCTCCCTGCTCTTGGACCTCTCCGGCTGGCGCATTACCTCATGTGCGCCCAGCTGTACAGTCGCGGTACATCCACTGGGAAACACTCCTCCTCAGTCGGACAGCATTCGCATGCGCCTGATGGGGCTGCGCTCTCATCACAAATTGCCAAGTTGGCCGCCTGCCATGCCTCTCCCGGGGATCATGCTGCCTGCCTCGCCATTCACACACCTCTATAATGGATTTGTTTGCGAAATGTTACCAGCCCTGCGCCCTGCGAGCCCTGGCACGGGGCACCACGCACTCCGGTCGGAGGAACCGGACCCCAACTGGGCAGCCACTTGCACTGTGCATGTGCCCCACATGCAGGGCCCATCTGCAGTGCATGAGCCTGCATTATCGTCCAGTTCTTACCCCTGTAAACACAATAACTTGCATTCTAGCAAACCGGTAACGCTGCAATGGGCCGGGGAGGTGCCCTGTCGCTGCCACACGAGGATCCAAGCCCCGCCGCCAGCCGCTGGTGGTGCGCTCAGCGCTGGTGGTGGCCGACGCATGCTGGGCATTGGCGCCCACCTGCCGCGGTCCCGCCAGCTTCAGCCTCCTGCCGCTGCGCTACTACCCACATCGGGTGCCAGGGCGAGCCAGCAGCGCCAGGTTGAGGCGGCGCGCTGATCAGCAAGGCCACCCCCGCACCGCCCAGCTTGGCTGCCGCGGCAGGGCGGCCACCTCATGGCACCACCACCTCAGAGGCTGGCGACGGCGCAGGGCTGCGCGGCAAGAGCAGCGGCGGTGGCAGCTGCGCAGCAGTAGAGGCAGCCTACTATGCTTCCGCCGCCACCATCGCTCCTGGCCTGGCCTGCTCCCCATCCAGCCTCGTGGCAGCAGCTGGAGCCAAGGCACGGCCTTTCGCCAGCGCTGGGCGCACGGTGCCACTTGCGCCTAAGGCGCCCACGCAGACCGGCGCAGCCACCAGCTGCCCCCCCTGTCCCGCCTGCCGGGCGCCATGGTCAGAAGCAGCAGCGGCAGCCGCAGCAGACCATGGAGCACGGGCCTGGCCGCCAGGCTCTTCTGCCACCCGCCGCACCTGCGCCCACCTCCCCACAGCTCTGGCCCGGCTCCTGATGATGTCAGCAGGTGAGAGTGCCCGCAGCCAGACTCCAATGTGTGAGGATGTGCTGCATACCAGCAACTGCTTTGCGCCCCGGGAGGCCAGCCAACCAACCCGCCAATCCCTTCAACTCAGGCTGCTGCTGCACGCTGGCCCCTGCCCTTTGCATGTGCAGGGTGCCGCCACCTGGTGGATATGGCGGCGGCACGGCTCTGTGCCTGCGCTGCGGCGGCCCTCAGCCTCAGGCTGTGCCCCCGCAGGTGTACAGGGCACAGCCGGACCCAGGCCAGCGCTGCACCGCAGCCCAGGCAGGCTCAGGCTGACGGCTGGGGCCGCCATGCCGGACCCAGCTGGTCATGCCTCCACCGCCCCACCCACAGCCCGCCCAGGTGGAGGAGTTGCCCGTGCCGCTTAAACTCCATGCCAATTCCTGTGAAACACAATCCATAGTTAAGTCACCAGCAGCAGCGGGCTGGGGAACATGCGCCACAAGGGGGCGGCGCTGAGCGGCAAAATGCAGAGCCGCTGTGCCGCCGCCTTGTGCCTGCTGGGGGGGGGGGCGGCTCTGTCGCTGCATGTTGCTAATGCATGAAAGGAGGCAGGTAGAGGCCCCGGCAGAGACTTTCTGCATATATGTAGGCACACGTGGCCACACGCAACCCTCCTCTACATAGCCGCCCTTCCCTGCTACCTTGCGTACATCCTCGCCTCCTGCGGGGTTGACCCGAGGTAATCTTCTCCGCCGGAGGGGACACAGTCATGACGGCCCTCTTGACGACTCCGTCTGGTCTCGCCACACCCTTCTCCAGGGACGTGCGCGACCTGTTCTCTTCTTACGCAGACGTGGATGTCAAGGAGCTGTGTGGCTGGCTCCTGCAGGAGGATGGGGAGGGGGAGGCTCCGGCACATCCTGCGTGCTCACCCGGTGAGCCCTGCGCAGCCCCCCTGATTCCTAATTGGCGATGTGTGGGGATGTGGGGTCATGAATGGCGCGCGTGAACATGCCCCCCACAGCCGCGCAGTCCTCTCCGCGGCGCGGGGGGTCGCAAGGTCCTCTCACCTGAATGCAGGTCCCACTGTTGGCAACGCCTCTTTAGCGCCCCCCTTCTTTCCCTGCCCCTCACACTGACTGTCACAACCCTGCTCACGCACCCCCTGGTGCCAACCCCTGCCGCAGAGCCCGGCCCGGCCATGTGCCCCGTGACCGGCGCGTGCGGCGCCGTGCCCACCACCGCGCAGCTGCCACATCCCCATGTGAGCCCTGGCGGCCCCGGCTCGCCATTCAGCCGCTCCAGCTCCTGCTACTCCACCTGCTTCAGCCTGGAGCTTGAGCCGGAGCGAGAGGTGGTAGCGGTGGAGGCCCCACATCTGGCCCGCCACTTCCTACCCACCCTCCACCGCGCGCACTCGACTGTGGCCGCCTGCCAGCTGCACAGCGTGCCAGTCGACGGCGGCAGCCCCACGGAGGCCCTTTGCTGGGCGCAAGCCTGGGGCAGGCTGGCAACCGACCAAGGCTGCGCTGTCGGGGGCGCCAGCGGCGGCAGCGGCGGCCGCGGCCCCGCTGGCAATGGCATCACCTGCAGCGGCGGCAGTGGCAGCACAGGCGTCGTCGCTGCCCTGCGCCTGCTGGCCGGCCTTCCGGCAGCCTCAGGCAGCCCTGCCACTCCCTCCGCCCAGAAGCGCATCCAGCGACCCAAGCTGCCAGGGCCAGGCCCCAAGCGCATGCGCACCAGTGCGCCCGGCACTGCCCGCACGCCCAGGCTGCCGCCGGCGGCGCCGGCGGCACCGGCGCCGTCTCTGTGCGCCGCCTGGTCTGAGCCTCTGCCGGGGGACTGGCAGCTGTCCGATGCGCTGCTGGGAGAGGATGCGCTGGGCGAGGAGCTGTTCCTCGAGCCTCAGGAGTCGCCCCAGCTGGATGCCGCGCTGGCAGCGCTCGACGACTGGCGCCCGCTGCCCACCCGCTGCTTCGGCCTGTGAGCCCGCCGCCCCCTGGATCAGAGCCCCGGATCAGAGCAAGCCTTGGTCTGCGTACCGAGTGTGAATCGCCATAGATATACACGGAGAACAGCGGCCGTCTGCAGAGGCGCCGCCGTCGCTCCAGGCGGCTCCAACGGCACACCCGAGTCCTGCCTTTTCATTCAAGCTAGCATTTCATGCTCCCGTCCCACCTTCAGAGACTTTCAGCGCCTTTCCAACTGCATTCATTGTGACGAAAAAATCCTTCCCAAGCCTTTGGTGAGTTTCAAAAACTTCGGAAACTCGTATTCAACTGCATGCACAACCAACCCATGCGCGCCAACTACCACTGAGCTTGGCGCAGCCTTTTCACCCTGCCTGTTCACCTTGCTTTTTCAGCTTGCCTGTTTTCTTTCAAAATTCAACGCTCCCCCTAGCCGCTGTGTGGCGTGCGCCTCTTTCTTCATCAGTGCCACTCATGCATCGCTGCACCACCAGTGTGCCCCACGTGTTCCGCCCTCACCATTGCTGCCTTCAAACCCAAGCCACCGCTGGCCCCCCCTTTCAATGCCGCACCCCTCTCACCGCACTTTGCTGTCACACACTGTGCCTGCCTCACCCACCCTGCGTCCCATCTCCTGCCTCACATACCCTGTTCCTTCTGCCCTGCCTCACTTATCCCGCCACCTTCATTGATGCCCAGCGCTGCCGCTGGGCGCCCTGTTTACTGCGACCACCTTGCTCCTGCCTGCCAAGCCATAATCCGGCGCTCCTTGCGACACGCCCTTCCTGTCGAAGCGCTCCCATAAAAATGAACGCCCCCTGATCAGCTGCCGCCTCAGGCACCCCTGATGTCCCGCGTTCATCCCACACATGTGCCCTGCCCTGCCCACACTCTTGGCAGCACACCCCTGTTCTTCACACACTTTGTGTTCTTGCTCGCTCGCCGAGCGCTACAGCCCATCTCCCGCTTACATGGCCGAACACTGCCCACGCCGGGCCAACTGGATGAATGTATTAGGCGCGGCACCGCGAGGACGCACGTCCGGCCGCCGCAACTGTTGTCGTCCTGCTGTGCTGCCCCAGCCTGTAACCATCTCGCGTGGAAGCGCCGCCTTGGCTGGATGGGGGGGACGGGTCACCCGCCGCCCCCCGCTGCTGCCGCCTGCGCCAGCGCGGCCTTGGCTCCACGGTAGTGCTGCCGCACCATGTCGGCATCAAAGGGCATGCCCATCTGAGCGCTGAACCTGCGGCAGCGGGGCCGGCGGCGTCAGCAGCCACACGCCAGCTCCTGTCCCCCAGCCCCACGGCTGGACTCGGGTGCGGCGCAGGAGCAGGGAGCTGGCCACAGAGCGCTGGCCGTCCCATTCCATGCAGTACATGCAGTATATGCAGTACATGCGGTACAGCTCTCTAGTACCTCTGGCAGTACTCCACATACTCGTCTTCCGCCATTGCCTGAAGGTTGGGGCCGCCGCCGCCGACGCCGCCCTCTGCCGCCGCCGCCGGGCCGCCGCCGCCGCCCGGCTCGCCGCCGCCGCCGCCTGCAGCATCCCCACCCCCGCCGCCATCTCCACCCCCGCTCTCGGCAGCCCCGTTCTCCGCGCCGTTCTCCTTGCCCTCGCCGCCGCTCGCCGCCGAGGCCGCCGCCGCCGTGGCCGCCGGCGCGGGCTTGCCGCCCTGCACCTCTTTCAGCTGGCTGAAGCGATCCACATACTCCTCATAGCTCATGCGAAGCAGGTCGGGCCGGTCGTCCCGCTCGCGCGGCCTGCCGCCTGGCGGCCCGCCATACTCCCTGCAACGCACCGACAGCCACACCCAGGCAGCAACAGGCAGCAGTGGGTGACGGGAGCGAGGCCGCGCATCGGCCGGGCGGCGGCAGCGGCGAGGGCCGGCAGGCAGGCGAGCAGGCGGGCGAGCAGCGGGAGCAGCCCAGGGCAGACGCCGAGGTGTCGCTCAACGCTGCGGGCGGCGGCGCAGCGGGCGGCGGCGTGGGCAATCCCGGCGGGAGAATACACCACCCCCCACCCCCACCCCTCCCGCCCTCTGCCAGCCAGCGCATTTGTGCAGGCGTGCCTGCTGGGCGGCGGCCCTTCTCGGAAGTCCCGCTGCCCGTGGTCGATCCCGGGGGCGGGGCCCCGGCCGGGCGGCCCCCGCTCGAAGAAGCGGTCGTGGTCCCGCGGCGGCGGGCCGTCCCTGCAGGCGGCATCCGGCGTGTGTGGGCTTGCAGCCTGGTTGCGACAAGAACAAGCTTGCAGCACAGGCTTTCCAGCAGGGTTTAGGGGACCCATGGGATTCCCTATAGGTGGTGGAATCGGGGCGGCCGCAAAACGGGAGCCGACAGCGGCACAGGCAGGCTGACGGAGCGGGCAGGCGGGGGTGGGGCCTGGTGAAGGGAGGTGCGGACGCAGCTGCGAGCACCCCGACAGGGCAGGCATGCGGCAGCAGCCGCGGATGCGGCAGCAGCGGCAGCAGCAGCGGCAGCGGCAGCACCGCCACCACCACCACCATCACCACCACCACCAGCGGCGGCGGCAGCAGCAGCAGCGGCGGCAGCAGTAGCAGCAGCAGCACCACCACAAGCAGCGGCGGCAGCAGCACCACCACCACCACAACAACAACAACAAGCAGCGGCAGCACCACAAGCACCACAAGCAGCGGCACCACCAGCAGCGGCGGCGGCGCGCCTGTACATCGGCAGTCCGTCTCGGAAGCCGTTGGGAGGAGGGCCGTCCCTGAAAGGTGGGCCGTCGCTGCCGGTGGGCCGGCAGGCGAGGGGGTCGGGCAGGTTGGCTGGTGGGCAGGCAGCTGCCCAGGCAGGCACGGCAGGCAGGCAGGCAGGCCGCAGTGGAGCCCCCACTCTGGCTGCTGCCAGCACAGCACTCCCTTCCAATGCCAGTGCTGCGACGCTGCGCGGGCTGGGGTGCTGGGAGGCATGCAGGCGAGCGTGGGCAGCCGGCAGGCGCGCGCACCGGTAGCCGCCGCGCGGGCCGTAGTACCGCTCCCTCTCCCGATCGTACCGCTCGTCCCGCTCCCGGTACCGCCCGCCACCACCGCCCGCCCCAAACCCGGGCGGCAGCCCGTCCTGCAGCCGCTCCACCCCAGGCTCCGCCTTCACACCCGGCTCGGCTTTGACGGCCGCACCCGCGTCGGCGCCGCCCGTGGCGCCCGCCAGCGCGCCGGCCCCTCCCGGCCCCGGCATCACGGCAGGACGCAATCCCGGCATCATGCCTGCACCCCGGCACAGGCATGCGTTGGAAAGGAGTAAGGGACAGCAGCAGTGCGGTCAGGCCGGCCAGACCGCTGTGCCCGGCTCAGCACCATCTCAATATCACCAGCAAAGGGGCAGCGGCGCGGCCGGGCTGGCAAAGGGCATGCAGGGCCCGGAACGGCAGCAGCAGGGCGGCCACGGGCCATGTGATTGATGGGCGGGCAGGGCGGCAGCAGGGAGCAGCAGGGCAGCAGCAGCAGCAGCAGCAGCACAGCAGCAGCAGCAGCACAGCAGCAGCAGCAGCAGAGCAGCAGCAGCAGCGCGGCGGCAGCAGGGAGCAGCAGCAGCAGAGCAGCAGCGGCAGCAGCAGCAGCACCAGCAGCAGCGCGGCGGCAGCAGCGGCAGCGGGGATGCAGGCGGCGGACCCGGCATGTGTCCCATGGCCATCATCGCCGCCGCCATGGGGTTCATCATGCCTGCGCAGCCAGCCACACAAACATGGGCGGCTGGTGGAGGCTGGCGGGGGCTGGCCGGCTGGCTGCGGCTGCGGCTCGCTGGCTGCACAGCGCGGGCGCTGCCGGCCACCAGCCTCCATGCCCACACGTCCATCCCCACCCCTTCAACCGCACCCACACCTCCACACTCGCACCTCGCATACCCACCCCCCCCCACACACACGCCCCACCCACCTGCCCCCATGCCCATGGCCGCCATGGGGTTCATCATCGCCATGGCCATCAAGGGGTTCATGCCCTGCACAGCACGCACAGCACGCACAGCAGGGTCCACGCCTCAGCAGGCACTCCGCATATGATTGGTAGCCGGGCAGCGCCGCCAGGCGAGGCGCGGCGCAGCCGCTGAGCAGCGATTCCCAGGAGACGGATCAGCGGTAGCAGCAGGATCGGCATTGCGCCAGCGGCAGAAGTGGCAGGATCAGCAGCAGGCGCCAACGGCAGCACACAGCACCAGGCAGGAGCAGCGGGCGGCAGGCTGCCGGGGAAGAAAGCGCAGCCGCCGGGGAGGAAAGCGCAGCCGCCGAGCGCACCATCATGAACGAGGCGTCTGGCATGCCCATCAGCCCCGCGCCCACCATCGCCGGCACGGGCCCCAGGCCCGCCACCACCCCGGGAGGCGTGCCGCCGCCCCGCGCCGCCTGCTGCTGCTGCTGCCGGCCCTCGCCGCCGCCGCCGGGCGGCGGCTCGGGCTTGGGCGCGGCCTTCGCCCTCTCCAGGAGGCCAAGCAGCTCCTCTGCCACACTAGCCTCTATCTCTGCAGGCGCCAGGAAGAAAGGAGGCGGGAGGAGCGGCTCTGCACATGTAGCCTGGGGCGCCTTGTAGGCGCGTTGCCCCCTGTCCCCTGCCCCAGGCCTGCCTCACGCGTCCATCCTGGAGGAGGGGTGGCTGTGGCACAGAGCTGAGCCGCTTAGCATGCACGTCGCGGCCCCGGCGCCCGCCAGCCCACCTGTGCCGTCCTTGCCCGCCCGCACCGGCTGCTGCGGCTGGCTCAGCGGGTTGCTGCAGCACGGGCGCAGCGGCGGGGTGGCAGCAGGCTGGGGTGAGGCAGGGAGGCAGGGGGCCGCGTGGCATAGCAGGCACAGCAGGCTGGCCCTGCCCTCCACCCTCCCTCCCTCTTGCATCCG